TGAATTTTCTTGTAGTGAACTAGACACAGTGGTTTGCAAATACTATGGGGATTAGTTGGGCAAAAAATCCAGATATCCTTTTTTTCTTTTTTTTGGATATCCGTGTTATCTAAAAGTAAGGTCTTCAATATTGTGCTTATATGAAAAGGTGGGTAGGAAAGCATTTACAAGCACAGCCTTAATTAGGGCCTATTTGGATTAGTGGTTGGAATTAAATATATAGTTGACAGTTGATGAAATAGTTGATAATTGATGACCAATGGTTGATAACTGATAATTAATAACGATTGTTGTTTGTAGTGTTTGGTAACAGAGTAGCTAACTATTTCTAATAGTGTTAAATTACTATTGAGAATATATTTAATATTAGTTAAATTAGTTTTCTTATTTGAAATTAGTTAAATTAGTTAAATTAATATTTGTTCTACCAAGTAAAGAAATCAAAACAGTTTAGGAATCAATTAGAAGAAGGATAGTAATTTGTGCACCTTATATTTCAACACTCGGTTTAATACTTTTTAATTTAGTCATTAAAAAATTATTATTTTTTACTTTGAAATTAAAAATAAACAAATATAATAATATAATTATGTACAGAGGATACAAAAATCAACTGAATTGATTATATTTATATTATATTTTTAATAATTAAATCGAAAAATATTGAACGAATGTTGAATAAAAAAATGTACCAAACATTTCTCTTAGAAGAATTTTGAAGGTTTAAATTTAAGGGTATATAAGTAATTGAATAAATAAAAAAATCCTCAAATATTTTTAAGTCTAATAGCCACCTATCGTGGCTATTGAACAATGTATCTGTTGAAGAATTTAATGACTATTAGCTAACTTCTAACGGCTAACAAAAAATCTTATGCAAACACCCATATTTTAGCTAACTATGGCCCAACAACTATCAGCTCCTTCAAAACCTCCAAAACAAACGGGCACTTAATCTTTTACTCTCTAGTTTAATTTAGTTATTTTATTTTATCCATTCATAATTACTGAATAACTTTACCTATTACAACAATTAATACTTAACTTTTAAAATTTCCGTGGAAAATAAAAAGCTCGAATGCGCCAACTATTGTTTTTATTAATTAATGAGATTATAAAAATAATAATGATAATTAACAACTTAAATGATTCAGTAATAATTTATTTTAAGTAAAAATAAGAGATAATAAATTTGAATTGTATGGTATACAAATAGAAAGAATTAAAAAATAAAAAAAAATTACCTCATATTATGTGACTCAAGATAAAATAATAATAATAATAATAAGTAAAATTGATATGATAGTATTTAATATTATATTTAAATAGAAAGTAAGACAATTGATTTAGACCCATAGATTTAGTAATGGAACAATAAAAGATGAAGTATAGCATAACACCTTTTTTACTTGACAAGTTAGTTGTTTAGTATTATAACATTTAAATTTGTTACCTTGATTTTAAATTAAGAATTTTTAAGTTAATAAATATCAATTTAGTTAAATTTTTATTAATAAAAAATTAATTTAACAATATTTTTCAACAATAAAAATCTCATAGTAAAACATTATATAATTCTTAGTCACTCTTTTAAAGTAAATCCAATTATAATATTATATACTTTAATTTATTTGATATCACGTAGATTTTATAAGATTCATGGTAAGAATTTTACTGTAAAAAATCAAAACCGTCGGTAAAACCAAAACATATACTCCCATCTGGTGACAAAAACTTGAGTGAATTTACAAGTTCCGAGCAGCTTCGGGTTCGTGCCCCACCAAAAATCTCGCACAAATTCGGTGTCTCCTAAAGAAATCGTCCCCACTTTTGAACTCGTACAAGAGCACCCACAAAAATGTCATCATGATTTAAATCTCACTTAAAATCATTGATCCAAACCGAGTTTCTGCGTTTGGAAAAGTTGAGAAAAGCACCATTACATCCTCAAAAAGTAGTAAAAGAATAAAACCCAAAAAAAAAAAAA